AAAATTTTCTGATTATTTGTTTGGTTGTTGATATGACAGGTGGTATTATTCTCTGTAGAGGAAAATATTAATTTCTCACGGGTAGAGTTGTCCTTATTAATGGATGTTTGGTATTTAGGACTTGTATTTAATTGCAGTCCCCCTTACTTTCTCCTTCACTCTCTCTCCTCTCCCTCTTTCTCTATACTTCTCTACATCTCAATCCTTTCTCTCCCATTTGCAATCTTCTTCACCATCTCTTTTCCTTCCTCCCTTCCTTCTGTCGCTCTCCATTTTGTCTCCCCTTTTTTCTCTTCTGTTTTTCTCCCACCCTCTTTTTCCATTCAGTTTCTCTCTCTCTCTACTTTTTACCCTTCAGTTTCTCTCTCTCTCTGCTTTTTCCCCTTCTGTCTCTCCCTCTCTCTGCTTTTTCCCCTTCTGTCTCTCCCTCTCTCTACTTTTTCCCCCTTCTGTCTCTCCCTCTCTCTACTTTTTCCCCTTCTGTCTCTCCCTCTCTCTACTTTTTCCCCCTTCTGTCTCTCTACTTTTTCCCCTTCTGTCTCTCCCTCTCTCTCTACTTTTTCCCCTTCTGTCTCTCCCTCTCTCTCTACTTTTTCCCCTTCTGTCTCTCCCTCTCTCTCTACTTTTTCCCCTTCTGTCTCTCTCTCTCTCTCTCTCTCTCTCCCTCTCTTTATCCCTCGCTACCCGGTCTCTCCCTCTCTTTATCCCTCGCTACCCGGTCTCTCCCTCTCTCTCCCTACCCGGTCTCTCCCTACCCGGTCTCTCCCTCTCTCTCCCTACCCCGTCTCTAGCTCTCTCTTTCCTTTTGACTTTGTTTCACTCTCTCTCCTTTTCTGTTTCACTCTCTCTCTCTCCATTTCTGCTTCTCTCTCTCTCTCTCTCCATTTCTTTTTCTTTCTATTTTTATTCTGCTTCTCATTCTCTGCACTTACAAAATATTTATTCTCACAAGTACATTTAAAAACAGTAATAATAGCAAAGATGTTTTTGTTCTCTTTTTCCATCCCTTACATGTACTCATATGTACAATTATTTTATTTTTTCCCAACTGTTAAATATAGCCTGCTACACTGGATTACAATCATACTGTGAAGATCAAACTAGTTACTCGAGTTAGCAAATACAAGACAACCTTGCTAACCTTTGCTCTAAGTGATACATGTGTGCATATATACACCGTCACTCACAAATAGATTTTATGAGTATATACATGCTATATAAGCAGGTCTTTTAAAGATAAACCAATTATCAGTACAATTTGCACTGATAGGTTCCATAATATCTAGTATAATTTGAACAACTTGTTATTGCACAATGGGGCTTCCATACATTATAAATCCATTCCTATTCATTAATAAAAATCTATTAAAATTACAATAGATAAACTTCTCAATTATTAAAGCACAAATAGCATTTAATAACACTTCAGTCACAATCAACATGAATTTTTAGGGGGAATATTTTAATGGCTTCCTTTTTCAAATACAAAGGGCTCTCCGATTAGCCGATTATTTAAAGCCAGAAAATATTTTTAGAGTTTAAGAATTTTATTGGAGATAATAATGATTTACCAACAGAAGTCCTACTAATTAATTATTCCATAGTTAAGAAGAGATAGATTCCAGGGGTATTCACACATACATGAATATAATGACCCTGACTGGAATTGAAACTTGACTCTCCAATTTTCAATTTCGAGCTGTTATCCATTACGCCACCTGTACATCCAAGCTTAAAGCATCTGGTTTTCTCAAGCATTCACCCAACTAGATCAGTACCTAGCTAGGTGACTGCTTGACATTGCTTAACTTGGATAATCATGCAAGAATCTGTTTTTCAACAGGATATGGCTATAAGCCAACTGGACTCTAGGGGACTAGCAATGTGTGACATCAATTAATGTATCACTGTTTCAGTTATTTTGGGTTGATTGTAGAGATAAATTGTTGTGTGGACACTGTGAGGCCATGAACCCCAATTGGCAACCAGGCACTGTGCAGACTGGTGGTAGTTTTATAATGGTATGATACACATTTACATGGTATTGGTTGTGTCCACTGGTTTGCCTAAACACATCATTGATCAGTGATAACTATGTCACACTTTTTCATGACAATTTGCATCCTGTTTGTGGACTCCATATATACCCTAGTAAGGACTGGTCATTCCAGCAGGAAAATACCCAATAACATTAGACCCAAATTTCCAAGATTTGCTCCAAGGAGTATTCTGGAGTCTTCTGACGACTATTATAGCCACTATGTTCACCTGACATGAGCCCAATCAAGTATATATGGGGAAATAGTGGAGAGACTTATTTGCATGCTAGTTCCTGCACCTACAAATATCAGAGCTGTGGCCAGACTTTCAGATGATATGGCATCTCTCCAGAGGTCTTTTGACTGCTTCTGGAAGTGATGTCATGTACAGTTGCTGCACATGGATGTGATAGAGAAGTTCCTACATGATACTAGATATATATATCAAATATATTTTAGTATATATATTTAGTATATTTTAGTATATATTACCTGATGCTAGGTCTATATCTCAGGATTTGGGGCATGTTAGTATGTCTTCTAGACATGCACACACACACACACACACACACACACACACACACATATATTGTCATCTGATGCCCATATAGACAAACAAGAATTTTTATAAACTTATATACATAAAGCAATATTTACGTTATTTTTTTTTTTTTAGGTAGGCATTGAATCTATTTGCATCATCCCTCATTGAATTTGGAATGCCGCAAATTACACTAATGTTGATTTAAAAGATTTGTATGCACATAATACATGATTGACCAATGAAATTCAAACACAAAGTGAAATTACCGGATTTTCTTTCTTCTTCTCCATATCTCATTCTCTGATGAAGCTTTAATAAAAGTGAAACATGTTAGATTGATAAATGTTTCCTATTTATTCTTTATCTTATTCTGTCAGATTCTGATCCATATTTGATCCAAACTCATGTTAGTGTATACAAATGAATTACTCACATTATATATTTGTGTATTATATTTAATATGCATTTTATCAAATCCAATTTAACCCCTTTAGTATTCAACAAACTCAAATCTACCCTGTAGACATCAGCTCTCAAATTCTCATTGTTTGTGGTCAAAGTCTCACTCTTTATGAGACTTTTATTATTTGCAATGATGATGTCATACATTATGGCAGAGTTTACATGGGGCACATGTGGAATAATGGATAGTGGCTCGGAATGAGGAAACGGAGAGCTGAGTTCAAATTCCAGTTAAATCCATTACATTCACTTACGTGCTAATACCCTTGGGAAAAATATGAATCCTCTTCTTCTCCCCGCAGCTATTGGTAAATAGCAGGACAGACCAAGTTCTATAGCCTTGGATGGCAACTGGTCTACCACAGAAAGAAATGGCAACCTACAGAGGGAAAAAATTTGCCTCGTCAGTCATGTATCAAAAGATACAGGATCACCTAAGCATGTATCATGCATGGCACATAACTGAACTGATACATGGGGCAGGTTATGTCGGGGTGAACATTAAGAGCCAATATTTACAGGGCGGGTTGAGTGCTAAAGGATTAAAATGTGTCACTTCTATGGGAGTATCTTTTATTGTAAAAAGATACTCTGATAAAAGTATAAACATTTTTTGTTTTAATCAGCTGTGCAAGATTCCAAGAATATGTTGAAAAGGATCAGGAATAGGTGGAGACTGAAATCATATCTATTTGGCTTTTCTAATAAAGGAACTTTCATAAAAAATTTGTTTGTGGTACAAATATCTGAGTCTGCTATTTCAGAGCACCTGATAACAAATCGTCAATGTTCTATGGCATATTAGGAGAACTTGTTTTCAGTTTTGTGCAGATTGCACTCAAAGTATTTGAGACAATTTTATTAAGTCCTGGCAGTCTTCCCTGTGTAAACAGAAGGAATGGCTGCTAGGACTTATGATCTGCATCACTCCACAGTCAGTGCCAAATTTTCCTTCTTCCTTCTCAGTATTCAACCTCAGCCTACCTCTCACGACAGTCATAACTGTCTTTGGGACAAATCTAATTTTTAAAGCATGTGGCAGAAATGGGCATAATTTTATTCTAGTCATTAATTTTAATTTTCTTGATTCCTCAAAGAAGAGATAAAATTATTTCTCCATTCCTGGACTTAACTCTTTCTAGCAAAAGTATAAACCAGATCACTTGCTTGTCAGTGGCAGGGTCTGTTTTCATAACTTCGACCCTCAAAAAGAGTTCATTCCTTGTTTACATTCCCTCAAGTTCCCAATTTGTTTTTGTCAGCGACAATATAATCCAGACCTCTCTCTCCTGCCAATGATATTTTTTGTTTGCTTAAAATTCTCAAGGAAGAGATAAAATTATTTCTCCATTCCTGGGCTGCTCTTGGTCTAGCAAAGATATAAACCAGATCAGCTGCTTGTCAATGATAGGATCTGTCTTCATAACTTCGACTCTAAAACAAAGGATTCGTCCTTTGTTTAAGTTTCCCAATTTGTTTTTGTCAACAAAAATATAAGCCATGTCTGTCTCATTAATGATATGTGTTTTCTTAATTCCTCAAGGAAGAGATAAAATTATTTCTCCAAATCTGTTTTCATCTGCATGCCAGAATCTCAATAGATAAAACAAAAAAAAAACTTCAGGAGAGAAAAAAATTCAGACAGTCCCATTTCTACCAAGGAAAACATCTCCTTCCTCTCAAGCTTATATTTCATTTTGGGCTTAACTTTTTGCTGCTCATAATTAGTATTTAACTACTTCATGGCCTCAGTGTTGGACTAATTTTACTCTGATTTTAATTCCATATTTTAAATATGTCTGTTTTCTACACTATCATTTCATAGAAATGTTAACATTGTTTAAATCACACTATATATTGGGTTTGTTTATGATGAAAGACAAGGATAATGCAAATCATTTTGGGGTTTTTCTGGTGTCCAAACTAAAAAATTTTTTTCTGATTTTCTTTTACAGAATCCAGGAAATTTTCCGTGACGTCGAGTACCATGTTCCTTTTGTTAGCGGCAATACCAATGTTCTTCTCAGAGTGTAAGTACCTCAACCTACTTTTTCTCCTTTACTTTTTTATCAGTTTTTTTTTTTTTTTTTAATACTTTTTATTGAATTTGAATCAGATTTTATCCCAGCAATTCTAAAACTTTTTCAACACTGTTGAAACCATAAAAATTGACCTGTCTGTTTACTGGCACCAGAAAAACCATTCTCAAGGTACCACTTGAGAATAATTCCTTTGACAATACCAGTCATAGTACTAATGTCATTTGACTCGATATTAATAAGAAGTTGTGTTAGGCAGATGTGACTGATGTAAAATTATAGCCTATGGGATGCCTTAGTTTTGTATATAACATTCAGAGAAATCTTCCTTTTTTTTTTTTTTTTTTTTTTTAGCAAACACAATCTGTTGTTAACTGGGGCAAGAAATGGCTTGTTAATTTTAATGCCTCCAAAACAAAACTGTTCTCTTTTAATCATCTATAAGAACCTTTTTTACCTTCTATCAGCATGGCTGATGCTAACCTCCAGGAGAGTGCTTTCTCAGGTTAATGTTGTCTGCTGACATGAAATGGAAATATTGAATCAATTGCTACAAAAGTTGGTTCACTGTGTCATGCTACAGTTTTTCTTGCCAGAATCTATCTGGCATCTCAGCTTCAGTCACTTTCCCACCACTGCAGCATAGCTTCTCACTGCCTTTTCTATAAATATTTTCATGGTAATTGTTCTGATGAACTTTCCTCTTTGGTATCTAGACTTTATGAATTTAAGTGCAGTACTAGATTGGCAGCTAGGTCTCATCATTGTAAAGTTGAAGTGGCTAGATGTAACTGTAAGTTCTATGCTAAAAGTTTCATCTCTAGCACTTCTCATTTGTGGATTTCTCTTCCAGCTTTTTGCTTTCCAGTCAACTTCAAAAATTTAAATGCAATATCAATCATTATTTTCTGTCTTCTTAATTTCTGTTCTTTTATTGTTCGTGCACCTAAATTTTCTTTTTCTCATATTCTTTCTTAGTCAGTAACACCTTGTGTCTTAGTGGCTTTATTGCCTTGCTTGGAGTGAAATGATAAAAAAAGAAAAACAATTATACCTTATAGGGCAATTGTTGTAAAACAATATTGCAGTCTGAGGCCAAAAATTTAAAGTGCAAGTAGCCATTGGTTTATTAAAATAAGTAAACGCACATGAAAGCAAAATTTTAGAAAATAAAATTGGCATGTAAAACCATCAGTTGCTCTACTCTGAAGGCAGTTTGCAATACCCTGCTTCCAGTAGACAAGATCAGTCATTAGACTAATTTTTGAATACAAATTTTGAATTTTCTACCATTTACCGCATTCAAGGTTCCATAAGAAGTCAACAACTTGAATAAACAGTTAATGAAATAGAACTGATAAACAAACATATGCCATATATACTCACATATCATGCGATGTTTGAAAACTCAATTTTGAAGCTAATTTTAAGAGGGTCACATCATACATGAGATATAAAATTAGTGTATGTTCTGCTGGCCCTGGCTACGCCGTTGACTAAACTATATATCTATTTACTGTAGTCAAAATGTACAACTGTATTTAAAATAAATGTTGCACATTGCACGAGTATATATGGTATATTGCAATTCATTGGGGGATCAGTTTATTACTTGGTAACAGTAGAAAACTGATCCCCAAATTTATGTCCAAAAGATTCTTAATACTAGTTTACTCATGGCATCAATGATTACCATATATACTCATGTATCTTGTGACTTTTGAAGACCTAATTTTAAGGGAGTCACATCATGTACAAGATATAAAATTAGCGTATGCACTGCTGGCCTATATATCCATGTACTGTAGTAAAAAAGTACAGCTGTATTTAAAATAAACATCTCATGTTCCCTGGAGCCCCTTCTGTTTACCTCGGGGTTCTTGATAGGCTCAGAGGCGGATATGCAATATAATTGGCCCTGCTCTGGTATCTCATCTACAGTCACTTTCTCACAGACCAGCGCCCGTCATCCTCTCTCTGTCTGTTTTACAAATACTTTCATGGTGCTCCAAGGATCTGCATTCGCTGGTTCCCAGAGTTCAAGCGCCCTATGAGGCTGGCATCCCGCTCTCACACTTTCACTATCGAAACTCCTAAATGTAGCCGTCTCTTCTACTCCTATAGCTCCATGTCTCGCTTTTTACCTCTAAACAGAAACTCCTTCCTTATTCCAGTTTCCCTGAGAGCTATAATCTCCAACTATTCAAATGTAATGTCAATCAACATCTCCAGTTGCCTTGATCTATCCACTACTCTTCTCCTCATCCTTTCTTCAATCACTCCTATCTGATCTTCTGTAACCCCTTGTGCGATTGTGGCTTCTCGCCTTGCTTGGGGTGAAACGCTTAAAATATGTTCAGTATATTGTAATTCATTGGGGGGGGGATCAGTTTATTACTTGGTAACAATAGAAAACTGTTCCCCCACTTTATGTCCAAGAGAATCTTAATACGAGTTGACTCATGGCATCAATTATTACAATATATACTCACATATCGTGCGACTTTTGAAGACCTTAAAGGGTTCTCATCATACATAAGATAAAATTAATATATGTACTGCTTGACCTGGCTATGCTGTTGTCCAAACTATGTATCCATTTACTGTAGTAAAATTAGCTTTAGGTGAAAGTAGGTGTAAGTCATATATTATATAACCCATTGTTATTGTTATTCGTTTATAAAACCCAATTTTAAAAACTTGTGTGTGTGTTCGTTTTATATATTGGATGACAGTACCAAAATTGGAAAAACAATTTTTTTGCAACCAATTTTAAACACAAAACTTCACAATGACTATGTAAAATTATTATAAAACCCAGGTTGTTTGTGTGATTCTGACAGTACCAAAAAAACTTGGAAAAATTATTGTTTTTCTGACAGAAGCAAAAAAAACAATTTGAAACAATTTGATATAGAGGCAAACACAATTCTGTTGCCAGAATGAAAGGGGAACAACTCGTATCGAGTTATACTTATTATAAAACCCAGGTTGTTTGTGTGTGTATTTGTTTATATATGGGATTGGATTTCCTACATTTTTCAACCGATTTCAACAAAACTTCATAGGACTGTGTAAAATTACCTTGCATTGGTTCTGACAGCGCCAAAAATTGGAAAAACACAATTGTTTTTGCACAAAATCAATTTGAAAACACGATAAAACACAATTCTGTTGCCAGAATGAAAGGGTGACAACTCATATCGAGTTATACTTATTATAAAACCCAGGTTGTTTGTGTGTGTCTGTGTTCGTTTATATATAGGATCAACAAAACTTCACTTTTTTTTGGCAAGTAGTGTTTCTTATTGTCTTGCACACTTTTTTATTTTTACATTCAGAATGCTTTAAAAATTCCATTTACAAGACAATTGTTTATAATAAAATTCTATTCAATCGATAGACTCATAACGATTGAAAACAATGTTTTTGTTTGAGTTCGGGTTTGACCAATTCGTAAAAAAAAAAACAAAAAAAAAAAATAATTAAGACATACGTGTCCATCAACCTTAAACAATAATCTTTGTCAATTTTATTTTTCAGTCTTTATAATGGTTGATACTTGATCTATCTCTTACTGATACATCCCCAGGAAATGCCGGGCTCTACTGCTAGTACATGATAATTACAATGGCAAAGAAGGAATTCAAAGAAAACTGAAGAATACAAACTAAAAATTTCAATATGATAACTTCTCTGCCTGAACTCTGAAATATTATTTGCTAATTACATCTCGACCTCTTCAAGCCTAGAATTAGCTATATTTCCTGTTATCTTGCCCATTTCTTGTGCTAATACAATATTATCATGCTATATTTGCCTTCAATAAGCAAACAACCTCATGATAATTAACAATAGATAAAAGCAGCTCAATTATGGGAATCTGATTGTTCACATCAACCTGATGTGTACTCATCAAAATATTGTGATAGGATTGCATCATTATTTTAGTCAAATAGGCTTATTCTATTGAGGCATCTGTTTTATTCAGGTTACTGTCTTCTTCCAGGATCATGGGCCTGGTAAATGGGAGACAAGCTAAAAATTTATGAGTGAAGGAAAATTGTATAAAAATAATGCCTGACGAAAAAAAAAAAAAAAAACTTTAAAAAAGAAAAAATTAAAATTTTTCTTAAAAGATTATTTTTTTGACTTTCTTTCTGCTTGAATTTTTCTAGTTCCCTCCCCCCACAGTTCCCACAAGAGAAACCAGTGGTCACTGTTCAGCCGCCAGCAAGACATGCATGGGTTGACGCACTGTCGAAAGTAACCGGTTGTCCATCTCTGAACAATGTAAGTGACCATCTTGACCATCAATGTCTATATAATATATTGATCATTATGTTGATTTTATTTATATTTCTGCAAATACACACACACACATGTGCACATCATTTTACAGTTGAAATGACAAAATGTAACTGTAAGTTCTATGTTAACAGTTCCTTCTCTCACACTTCTCACTTGTGGAACTCTCTTCTGGACTCTTGATTTTCAGTCAACTTTTATCTTCAAAAATTTAAATGCAATGTCAATCATTATCTTCTGTCTTAATTCCTGTCCTTTTAATGTTCTCTTTCCATAATAGTGTTTTTTTTTTTCTCATATTTTTTAACATTCAGTAATCACTTGCATCTTAGTGGCTTTATTACCTTGCTTGGTGTGAAATGATAAAACAAAATGAAAAAAAATGAGACAGAAAAAGAAATACATGAGGTACTCAATTTAAAAATAAAATAAAAACTGCCTCTAAATTTTTCCATATAATTTAAACCTAAAATACAAAATATTTTGATGTTTGTAATAAATTATTATGAATTTGTAATACACTTTCACTGCTGCATTGTTATAGCATTGCTGTCTGGCTGTTTTGGCCAACTTTGGGAAAAATAAAAAATTGCCATTTACTGAAAATAAATGACTATCATAATACTGACAGTGCTTTCTCATGGGCATCACCATTTCTGTTTGACATTCCAACCACCTGAAGAAGGACAGAGCATACAATGGCTGAAACATTGTAATAAATATGGTGACAAAGGTGAAGACAATAGTTTGAATAATGTAAATAGTGTGCATAATACCTCATCTCAGAAATATAGATAGATACTGAAGGGCCGAAACATTGTAATAAATATGGTGACAAAGATGAGGACAATAGTCCAAATAAAGTAAATAGTGTACATAATACCTCATCTCAGAAGTATAGACAGATACTGAAAGGCCGAAACGTTGTGAGAAATATGGCAACAAAATGAGGACAATAGTCCGAATAATGTAAATAGTGTACATAATACCTCATCTCAGAAATATAGGCAGATACTGAAAGGCCGAAATGTTGTAATAAATATGGCGACAAAGATGAGGACAATAGTCTGAATAATGTAAATAGTGTACATAATACCTCGTCTCAGAAATATAGACAGATACTGAAAGGCCGAAACGTTGTAACAAAGATGAAGACAAAGATGAGAACACTAGTCTGAATAATGTAAATTGTGCATCAACAACAGACCATGCAAGTTTTGTAAAGATATCTATCCACCGAAAGGAAGTTAAAAAATTTCCACATCAAACTTTAAAATGTGTTTTCTGAAAAGTGAGTTTTCAGCCTGACATCGATTCAATTCCTATGCTGCACAGATACGCATAGATGTGAGGTTATGGGTGTAATGAAGTGTTCATGATTGTCAAAGCTGTTTGTCTCTTTCAGTTCTCAATGCACAGTAGCCTTGGTGAAGTGATCCAGTCAATTATTGAAGAATTCAATAAGAATCCTCCTATTCTTATGCCATTGTAAGTCATGAATTTCATTATTGCCATCTCTTTTCTGACACTCGTTCATAAAAACCCTGGCTTATTCCTCAAAATACTTGATCTAGTACTTGAATTCTTTCATTTTTAAACCTTTTCTATTTAAATCTTTTTTTTTTTTTTTTTTTTTTTTTTTAAACAAATTCTTAATTCTTTTTTATCTTTAATTTTCCCTTATCTTCATGTCTGTTTTTTCATTATGCAATTATTTTATGTAATTTGTTACTTGATCACCTGTTTCAGTAGGAGACGATACATTTAATAAGAGTAGATAGGTTTGCCTATCGCTCGGTTCACACTCCTCTGTCTTATCTCTTGTTTCCTCTTTAGTATTGGGTTTCTGGTTCTTTCTAAAGTCTTCTCATTGTCTTTCCTCCCCCCCAGTAGCCCCCTTGCATCTTAAGGGCATTTATTGCCTTGATTGGGAGTGAATTGCTTAAAAAAAAAAAAAAAAAGAAATGTAAAAAGTGTTCCATGTCGGCACTGGCTTGAATCCTTCCAACACCAAAGCCACATCATAGATGATTTCTTTTTTTTTACTCCCTTTATCATACGAGAATGACAGATGTGGTGGCATTGATTCTAGGAAGTTGCAGGCGGAAAATGTTTAGGCGAATGTATGCCAAATCCTTAATTTTGCATTTTGCTCTGTGGGGGATAGCCTCTGAAAGGAATCTGGATGTGGGAGACATGTTGACTCCTCACAACTGCTCCCTTTGCACCGTTTTTTATCCAAAACCGAGACAAAAGCAATCCTACATTCATGAGATCTCCTAAGCATTCCAACCATTTTAAAATACTTTGACAATAAGCATGGTATCATATTAAAGTCCCAATCTGATGAGGCCATTTAAGAACATGACGAGAGTTTTTAGGTTAATGTTTTGGTTTTGTAGCAATTGGCAGTGTTGGGTGAAACTACTTCTATTGCAGCTTATTTATATATTCAGTTTATATATATATATATATATATATATATATATAATGGACACTGAGATCAGTGAGTGCTTGAACCCAATCTTCAGGCCATTGGTGTTGACCTCAGTGTCCACTTTTATATTTACATATGCTCTATCCCTGATAGTGAGCATTTTTACCCATAAATATACATTTAAATCTCTCTCTCTCTATCCATCTCTCTCTCTCTCTCTCTCTCTCTATATATATATATATATATATATATATATAATTTCCAGGTAAAATGAGAACAAATGGATTATAATTCCACTGTATGTAACATTTTAATTTAAAAGATTTCTCAATACAGAGTAGAGCTAAATATTATTAATTTTAGGATATTAAAACATGTTAAAAATCACAAATCAACATGTGGACAACCACCAAACAATGGCTATGAGATACACACACACACACACACACACACACACACACACACATATATATATATATATATATATATATAAAACACTAATAAACTTATAAATGTAAGCAGCTATATTTGTCTGGCAAAACCTTAGGTGTTTTAGCTTGTAAATGAACAATCTGCCCTGATCCTAGGTAGGTTAGTCTGGTTCTTTAGGTTTATTTACTTATATGCCTAATGATTGTGTCTAGCATGAAACAGCCTGTTGCCTCTGAGTGTTGACTTCAATGTTCACTTTTATATTTATATTTACATACGCCCTATCTCTGATATTGAGCACTTTATCCCATAAATATGGCACACTTTAAAACTATATTTCTGTGTGTGTGTATATATATATATATATATATATATATATAGAAACATATTAAAAAATCACTACATAATGACAATTATGTTCCAACACCATAAATGTGTCTCTTCGGCCAATGTTAAACTACTGACATGTGAAAGATTAATTTCAATCGTGGAATACTTTAAAAAATAAGCTTATGGGCTTTGCTGTGATTAACCAATTCTTTTTTCTATATTCATGGCACTATTTGCTGGTCATAGTCTACTGCAGGTCTCGTATAACTAAGCCCTCTCCACCCATGTTGAGATTATTTAAAATGTGATACCTCAGTATGTGACTTGAGGTTTCATGTGAATGTTTTCGTTCTGTAGCAACATGTGGTATTGGGTGAAACTATCCCAAACCCAGCCTATTCAATATTCAATTTCCTTATGTTCTATACCAGTAGTTCCCAACTAATTTTGGGCGATGCCCCACTTTGGTATTTCTAAAATTCTGGTGCCCCCTGTAATGCTGATGTGCGTTGATTGGCCAAGAAAACATGGGCTCTTCCAACAGCATGCATCACGCCCTCTCCTTTGTTGATTGAGATACGCGAGTGTGGGAAGACAGGAAATACTCTGTATGCCAATTACACATGTACATATATACACAGTATTTACTCTGTCCCTCGACTAGGACAAGATGTGACACAAAGTCTATTTTTAGTTAGGAACCCAATCACATACGCCCTGGACAGGAACAAAAATTCCCATCAGCCCCTGCAACTGCTGGTTGTGCTGGCCTCGGTGCAAACACCAATCCCTCTCTCTGGTGCAATGGGAGGGCGCAGCCTCGGGCAGCTGTTTCCTAGGGCTGGGCACCGCTTTATATTATTTTCCTCAGTTGCCCTCTGTCCTTTGACAGAGAGGCCCCTGAGTGCACTCTGCCCAAAGACAGAGACGCAACTGAGAGATGATAAGTAGGCGTGAACTTACTCAAAAAGAGTAAGTTACATACATATATACACACAAAATATTTTTATGTCTGCATACTGTATATGTATTTTATGTATCAATATACATTAACATTAATACTCTCACTCAGACTCACTAGAAAACAATTCACTGTTAATAACTCATTCTCGAATTGTCCCCTTATTCTGTTGGTATAGTAAGCCGAACGGGGCACATCCTACGCATGCCCCCAGCAAAATGTTACCATGTGCCCCACATTGGGAACCACTGATTTCGGTAATTCAACATTAAAATGATGAGACCTAATTGACAATCAAGTACTACACTTAAATTCATGTAGTCAAGGCACCAAAGAGGAAAATTAATTATAACAAAATGATACAGGGTAGCCACATTATAACAGTGGGAAAATGACTGAAGACAAGATACCAGGTCAGATTAATTTTCTACCATTGTACCTAGACTTTATGAATTTAAGCTCAGTACTAAATTGGCAACAAGGTCTCATCATTTTACAACTGAAATGACTAAATCTAACCATAACAATGTCAGACTCACTAGAAAACCATTCGCTGTTAATAACTCATTCTCGAATTGCCACCTTATTCTGTTGATATAGTAAACCAAACGCTGCACATCCTACGTATGCCCCACCAAAATATTACCATGCACCCTACGTTGGGAATCATTGTTCTATACTAATTTTATTATAACTGATCGATATCTATAAATGGTGCTATTCCTCTTACGGTTACGATCTGTTAATATACTATTTTTTCTTCTAATGTTCACCAATTTAATTTTTTTCTTTTAATATCTTTCAGCAACATCAACACTCCCCAGTCTACCCCCAACTATGTTATAGGGGGTCCTGCTCCAAGCCCAGTTACCAGTACTAATATGGTGAATATGTACCCCCACTTCCGGCAGTCCAACCCCACTACTGTGACCCCCAGCCCAAAGGCTCCCCTGCCAGTCACAAATGGGAGCACCCCTGCCAACTTGCCAAACTTTCCTATACAGCAAACATCACAAAATACAGAGGTAAGTAGTAACTGTCTTGTTTGGGGGGGTATAAAAAGGGGGGGTGCAGGTGGTGTAATGGATAGTGGCTTGAAATGAGAAATCAGAGAGCTGAGTGTAAACAGCAGAACAGAGTTTAAGAGTGACAGCAAAAAGACAAAATTTATTAAGAACTACGAAGGATAGGAAATTGTGGAGAGCCATGATTGCCAATGTCCTGAATGGACACAACACATAGAAGATGAAGAAATTGTGTAATTAGTTGCCAAAACTGAAATTAGGAGAGATAGCAAAAAGACAAAATTTATTACGAAC